AAACACCTTAAAAATAAAATAAAATGTTTAAAAAAAAAAAAAAAGAAAGTAGATGAGGCAATAGCTTGATTTTTTGGTTGTTGCTGTTGTTGTTGTTTGTTTGGGGTTTTTTTTTTTTTTGCTCCAAATGCCTTCAGGGCAGGTTTGGCTGGCTTGAGTTGTGCAGCTCAAACCACAGCAACCTGAGCCTGACTGCTTTGTTGAAGCAGGCACTTAAAGAACTGAGCTAAGGGGCAGCCCCTCTTTTTTTTTTTTTTTTTTTTTTTTTTGATATCAGGTCTTGCTATGTAGGTCAGGCAGGCCTTGAACTCATTATGCAGCCCAGACTGGCTTTAAACTCATTGCCATCCTCCTGCCTCAGCCTCCCAAGTGTTGCGATTACAGATGTGCACAACCACACCTGGCTAAGTAGCTTGATTTAACTATAATGCTTACATACATCAAAACATCATATTGTGTCCCATAAATGTGTGTTTTATCAATTAAAAATAAAATTAAACTTTCTATTAAGAAAAAAGAGAGAGAAAATTAAGAAGGCTAGTATGATGGGAGCACAGCAAGGTCCTAGTTCCTGAAAAGCCATCAGGGTGACTGGCCCTTACACTGAGATGGGGGAATCAATGGAGAACTTTGAACAGATGAATGACAGAAAAGTTTTAAAAGCAACACTTATGTTGTGAACAGATTCGTGAAGAATGAAAGGACACAAACAGGAAGAGTAATAAGAGGCCTTGATAATAACCTAAGTGAGAAAAGACGCTGGAATTGAAACAGTAGTGATGGAAGTCTGGGACGTTCAGGGTAGCCTGAAGAGAGATACCACAGGATTTACTCATGTGTCAAAAGTAAAACAGAGCAAGACCACTCTAGGGTGATCCCAAAGTTTTCATCCCAAGCAGCGTGGTACCATTCACCTTGATGAGATCTGTGAGAGGAGGAGGTTTGAAAAGGCATGAGAATTAACAGTTTATTGTAGGCAATGATTGGTTAGCAATGAGACTGGAATTCAGGGGGAAAGGTTGAGACTGAAGGCATAAATTTAAGAGATGCTGCATAAATATTTAAACTATGGCACTGCTGGAAGTCACCCAGCAAGTGTAGCAAAGGACTAAACCAAGAAACACTCCAGTTCGTAAGAGATTAGACAAAGGCACATCCTGCAAAAACAGAGATGTTGAGAAACTGGAGGAAAACCAAGAATGTTTTTGACTTGGTAGAAGCCAAATGAAGAAAACAGGCCAAGAATTCTGATGAGAAGCTCAGCAAGAAGACTGAAAACTGATACTGGAGTTAGCATAGAAAGGGCATTGATGAATCTGACCAGGGCTGTTTCCAGGGAGTGGTGAGGCAAGTTCCTACTCATAGCTAGCTCAAGGAAAGGAAGAATCAGAGATGGCAACTGTGTCTGAATTTTGCTGTAATGGAAGAATGAAAAATGACATGCTCAAGACAGAGAAAAATGTTGAGACAGGTGATTTAATAGCTTACTTTTATGCTAATAGGAATAACAGGAAAAGAAAACTGGCAAAAAAAGAAAAAAAAAAAAAAGACAATATGGGAAATGGAAATTACTGGTGTCAATGAAAGGTGGAGGCTAGCCTTGGATAGCAGAGGTGGCTCATTCCTAGGGAAGAAGGAAAGGAAGAGGAAGGAAAGGAGAGAGAAGGAGGGAGGGAAGGAAGGGGGAAGGCAGACAGGCCTCATGAGTACCAGTGCAAGTAGGTTAGATTTATCAGTGGTGGTAGTAGGGATATGGACATTTTCCTTACTGCTTTTATTTTCTTAGTGAAATAAATGTACCAGTCAGCAGTGTGAGGAAGGGAGAGGGGTAATTAAAAGCTGAAAATGGAGAGATCTGACTAAAATGGAAACAACAAACTTGAATGAAGGCATTTATAGAATTTAACTTATCAGGGCCGCGGATGGGGCTCGGTGGCACAGTGCCTGCCTAGCAAGCACGAGGCCCTGAGTTCGATTCCCGGTACCAAAAAAAAGAAAATAATAAAAATAACTTATCAGATACAAGAAAATATGAGACAAAGGAAATAAAGACGAAGTCCTGGTTTAAGATGTAACTCGGTGGATGATGTGGAAATGTATTCCCTTCAAGTAGGGAAGCTTGCCTGTGGGAGAAGCAGGTCTAGGAGCAGAAGTTTGATTTTGATATGGAAAATGGAACATCCAGACAGACATGATGACTGTCTGAGGCTCAGAAGAGAAATGTGAGCCCAAGAAATCTGAGCTTCTTCCCCTGGCAGTTCTTATCATCTTCCTACATAAAGATGATGGGAAGTACACAGGCTTTTGCGATTGCTATTGTGAGAGGTAGAGGACTGTTGGTTTGAAATCAGACAAGGTGTGAAATAGATTCTAGGTAAGAATAAGAATGTTTATAGGGAAATAGGGGCTCATGAGGCACCCCTGGGGGGCAGTTAAAGGTAGAGCTCCCAGCAGTGTCCCTGAACCTCAAGATCCTTTGCTTACACACAAAGCTCTCTTCCTTGCTTACCTGGTCAACTCCTACTCACCTTTCTTTGCGCAGATCAAGATAGAACTTCCCCAGAAGGCTGTCTCAGAACTTGCTGAGAGCTGCCTTCTACAGTACCAGCCAAGCAGAACTAGATTTCTTCTATCTTCCAAGTAACCCTCTGTGTATCTTATCATAGCATAAAGTGTATTGTACTGTAATCGCAGCTTCCTGCCTCTCTCACTGGACTGAAGTACCTTGAAGGCAGAGCCTTTCCCTCTTTGTAATAACCATTAGTTAGTGGAGGGGGGCCTCAGGAAATATTAAGAAAGAAGAAAAGAACTAAAGTCCTACACACAATTCTAGAAGGTCACAACACCCCCAGCCTGAGTCATATACATGTACTCTGACCTTAGAAATCAAGCTACAAAACAGAAAAAACTTGATTTCAACACTATATATTTTATTTTCCTTCCAGAAAAAGAATTTACAATACTTATAGCAAGGAAATATCCTTACTTTACAGACTCCTGCCTGGTCCCCAAACACACAAAGCTGAAGGCATGGTAGAAAAGTTTGTATTTAAAAGTCAAGTTATTCATGTGCATCAGTCACTTTTCATTTCCCAGTTCCAGTTCCTGTGCCTGGGAGCAGAGCATGCGGTACTTCTCTGGGCTCAAGGAATAAAGTGATACGGTGTTCAAGAATTTGTCCAGTGGACAAAGCTTGTCTGGGCAACCTCTTGGCAGCTGCTCCTACAAAAGAGACATAATTCAGCTGGTCCACCGAGGCTCCCATCCTTCTGCTGTCTTCCACTGAGGCCAGCAGTCCGAGAGGCCCTGACTCGAGCAGCATGTGTGTATGCATACAACAGCCAGGAAGGCCCTGCTACCCGGTCTATTTTCAGAATAAATAGCACACAACCTGCCTATAAAGGATACTGAAGGCATGTCTGTTGAGTTGACTGGGAAGACACAAAGAAGATACATCTCAAGCTTGGAAAGCTAAATGTCTCATCCCTGGAGAGTGTACTGGCCTCCTCCCTCAACACTAATAGCGCTAATACACCTAAGACTTCAAGGGAGCTGACAACACACATCACCTCCCAAAGACATCATTTGTAATTTTCAAAATAGGTTTCAGAGTCAAGATATTTCATCTTGGCCAAAATACTCAAGAGAAGAGCAGGAGGGTGGTGACCCTGCCTCTAGGGGTCTGTAATAGTACTGAGATAAGGCCCAAGTAACACCTTTCTACCGCTTGGCAAACTTTGCTCCAGTTCTTGGCCATAGCTGAGTCACTTTATAGGACTTAAAGACCCGATGGTACCAATGAAAACGCCACTGGGCCCATGGAGGGAAACTAAGCCAGGTGGGAAGTATCGGGAGGGGGCCTAGTCACACCCTCACCCTACTCAGAGGTCTTACCTCTCCATGGTAATAGAGCTGCACAAACCACTCCTTAGACTCCTTGTGTTGGTAGAGTTCTATGGTCAGGTCAGCAGCAAATGGAGGCCATTTGTGATCAAAAGTCCCCAGAGCCATTAGGAGAGGCATGAGGGTCACATCATGAGCTGCGTAGAGGTACAGCTTTCTGCAAGAAGCAAACAGTTTTCCACAATTCTTTACTCAGGTTTCTAGAGGCCAAAACATTGCCTGTGTCCTTTAAGTAAAACCCAAAACTGACCTTAGAAATCAGTGGAGCCTGCTATGAAATTCCACTGAAACAGACAGTGGGGAGAACCTTTATCCCTACACTTCATGTTCCTGGGAAAAGGTCCCAGTGCAGCAAGTGTCCTTTCCACCAACTCATCCTGCCTAGGGAGTTTCCTGGAGGCAATGTGTGGCCTCGGCCCTGTCCCTCCTTTCTTTGGATCCTGCCACACTGTGGCACACGCTTTCCCCACTCTCAGTCATGTGATGAGTTCAGTGCAGCAGGCTCTGCTCTTTCTTCAAGAAGCCTGCAGTTTTGGAGAATTTCATTTCAAAGGAATATGAAAAAGCCTGTTTGGCCCTCAACATTTTCTCAAAATTTCATTCTGAGAAATAAAGGTGCCATTTTAATTCTTCTTATCTGATGCCAGTCTCTATCATCTCCAGGGAAGGAGCGATGCTTCTATTTACTGACTCGCAACCTAAAAGACTAGCTTTGTCGCATTCTTTAGACAGAGGCAGAGAAAGGCGAGGTGGCAAAAGACAGCAAGAAACATAGTGCACTGCAGGCACGGTAAATGAGGTAAGGGCATTCCTGTGCCTGCCATTATAAACCTTGGCCCAAAGCTCCTGAGCATTTCGCTTCAACCCAGTATCTCATATTCATGAGTTTCTAGCTACAAGCAGCAATCTCTCCCTCCCTAGAACAAAGCCCACAGAAGTGCTTCTGCAATCTAGAATCCAGACAGGTCACCTGGGGAAACTGCTTCAGTAGGTCGAGTGGGGACATGGGAATTTAGCGTGTTCTTGGGTGATAGTGAAGCTGTTTGCAAGATCACACTGTACTTAGCAACGTGTCAAATCCGTAGCCCTAACCTGGGGTAATGAGTCCATCCCAGGCAACTCGGCCACTATGTTCAGACGATGTCTCAAAAATGAAGAGCTGGAGATGTAGCTCAGGGCGAAGACCCCGAGTTCAACCCCCAGTATTCCCCCACCATCTCCTAAAGTGGCAACGGAAGCTCATGAAACAGTTCCAACACTGGAAAAAAATGTTTTATGGATACCACAGTGTAATAGTTACAGTGGATGCCAACTTGATTAGCTTTGAGGTCGTCCCATGAGATTGGCGAATACACTTTTGGGTGTCTGGGGTACACCACAGAGATGTGGCCTTTGGGCCCATGTCTGAAGCCTGGCCCTTTCCTCTGGCACTGCTCCCCTGCTCAGCTTCTCTGCTGCCATGAACCAAGCATCTCCACTCTGCCACATCCACCTTCCTGCCACAATTTTTCACTAAATTCCTTTTAAATTGTAAGCCAAACAGCTCACCTCCTTTAAACTGTGGGTGTTCCAATGATGGGAGGAAATACACATACTTTCTGTATACTAAGTGAAGATGTTTAAGTTTAGGGTTCTTTTTGGCTAAAATAAAATTTTCAAAACACGGCACAAGAGCAAAGTGTAAATCTCTTTGGTACTTGTACTCTCTTAAATGTCTACCCACACTCACTGCCAGCCTGCCCCCACCTCCATGAGGTTCCCCTCTGCAGCCAGAGGCCCCCAGTGCTGTCATCTGCAAAGTTGTTGTGCCAGGTACCTGGTCTTGTTGGGTGGAGGAGCAGGTTCTGCAGCCTTCAGGAGGTTGTTCTCCAGGATGTGTAGGAAGGGGCCGACTGCCATCTGCAGACCTTCCCTGTGAGAAGCAAACAGGTTTTAATAGCCCAATATGTGCTAACCACTCAGTCGGTATAGGCTGGTTTAGGACTTCAAGAGGACGGTCAGATGCAGCTGAGAAAAAGACAAGAAATGTAGAAAGGACAGCCAAGGGCAAGAAGGAGAAAAATCAATTTGAGGGCTGTGTACAAAGACCTCCAACTACAAAAACCCCAGGATGCCAATCTGCTATGAACATGGCTAAAATGAAAGAGGCTGAGAGAGTAGGTGACTGGTAACTGAGACACATTATAAAGAACTAAGCCTTGAGGAAGGAAAGGACAAAGATGGGAAGGATGAGGGTAATGACTTTCAGAGATTCCAGAAGAGCAAGTAGAAGGAGTAACATCCTAAATTACATTTCCTATGTACCAGCACTCCCGCTTCTGAGGTTTAGATCATAAAGACATTTCTTGTCTTATTTATTGGACTTAAGTTCAGCAGGGGCTGGTGAGATGGCTCAGTGGTCTAAAGCACCTACTTAGAACAAGCTCAGCAAAGCACAGGGACCCTGGTTCAATACCCCATCACCACATGCCAGCCCGTCCCACCCCCTGGTGGGCTGAGCTGGCCACACACACACACATACACACACAAAATAAATAAATAAAATTAAAAAAAAAAAAAAAAAGTTCAGCAATAGTGTCCCAGGATTGGTTCTATGGCTCTACCATTTACATTCTCAGCTTGTCACTTCACAATAACAAGGTGACTACTGTACTAAAAGCCTGTCCTCTTAAAGAAGTGAACAAAACAGGAAAATGGAGGCTGGCAAGTGACAAAAAGGGGGTGTTTGTGGGCGCCTTTCATTTTTTATTAAAGAGGAAAAAAGCTCCAAATCAACACCTCTCCTAGAATTCTCAAAACCCAATCACTATCAAAAGGGAACAAGTTTACTGTGATTAGTTTCACCTAATCTTTACACATGGTAAATGGGTAAGCTGCCATCTTTATGGCAAAGAATATTGAAGCAATAGATGATGCATAAACAACCAACACTGCATGTGATATGGCTTTCAGAAGAATATATGCAGCCCAAGCCAATTTGGGCTGCGACTATGTAACCATTTGTCTTTGAAAAAAATACCTATTTCATGAAAGCAGGCTAACTGGAATGAAAAAGACAACGGATCAGGAGAAAGCAAAGTATGGCATGGCCACATCTGACCTGCCTGACTGTTTTTCTAAGTTCAATTGTATTAGACGCATCCATGCCCATTTGTTGGCAGGTTGTCTATAGCTGCTTCATATTACAAGGACAGAGATGAGCAGTTCCAACACAGATGACATGACATGCAAAGCCTAAAATATTTATTGAATGTCTGTATGTGAGAACCAGTGAGAGGGAGGACAGGAAGTGCCAGTGGGGGTCTGGTGTGACAGTGTTACAGGGAAGCTGGCAAGTCCCAGGGAGTGCTAGCAAGCTGAAGGGCATGGCCGGAAGCTCCTGGATACCCGAGGCTAGTGCACAAAGGGACACGCTGAGTGAGTCAAGGCAGGCAGGGCTTTCACTCTAATGCAACAGATGGTACAAGTTCTTGAACTGTGAGCTATCCCCGCAACAGTCATATCCTCTCTTTCTTAGAGCTATTCTTGTCCTCATTTCCTCCACCTACTTACCTATTGTGAGTACAAGTTGAATGAATTTACTGATCAGAAAAAAGGAACTTCTGAAATTTGGTAACAGGAAAAACTTCTATTTTGTTAGGAAACAGGCCTTTTAGAAACAGAGCCTTAGGTACCAGGAAGGCTACGCAAACACACCACTGCTGTCCGGAGATCTGGACTGAAACTCTGGCACTACTAGCTGCGAGCTGAGCCCAGGCAAGGTAGTCTCTCTAGGCCCCACTTTCTTTGTCTACAAGGCCAAGGATAGTTTCACTTACTGCACAGTGAGAATGTGAAACTGATTCATAAATTATAAAATGATGAATAAAGTGATAAGTAAGTATTCCTCGCACAGCTCTTCTCCCAGAATCCTTTGAACTTTAAAGCAAAAGCAAAAAGCAAGTGATTAAAAGACACTCAGCAAGGTGGTGGCTCCTACTTCTGTGCAACAGGAAATGAAAGCTCTTGGTCACCAGTCCCAACACAGAAATTCAGGGACTGGGGCTTGCAGCACGGGGCCATTTTGGTCTCTTCGCAGTGGTGCCAGGCAGCACGTGTGAGGGAACTTGCTGAACTCTTCGTTCACACACACTTAGAGGGCTGAGCAGGCATGATGCTTTGCTGGCAGCTAAAAGGTCCCTCACCTGTCTTCCTGTTGCAGGATGTACAAGACTGTGTCCACAGCTCTCTGTTCAATCACCTGGGCAAATCTCTTCAGCATGGGGCAGCTCGGGAGATTGTGCACCTGAAAGGACCACAGGCAGTTTTAGAAAGAAGGCAGCTGACCTGCGTCCATGGAGCCTGCTGGGGCCTGTATCCTCCTGGGAGGGCCCACACAGTACAAGACTGTGTCCCCAGTGCCCTTCTGAACCTATGTGTTCCTTCATTTCTGAAGACCCAGAATTAAAAAAAATTCTTTATCTGGCCTTTCAGATGCTCCCATCCGCTTCAAAATTTAATTTTCTTGGGGCCAGGGAGATGGCTCAGTAGGATAAGCGCTTGACCGGCAAATGCAAGGATCTGAGTTCAATCCCCAGTTCCTCCAAAAAAAAAAAATATTTAATTTTCTTTCCTGTGCTGGAATTGAATCCAGGGCCTCTTACATGCTGGGCAAGTGCTCTACCGCTCAATCAAACCCATTCCCAGAACCATATTTTTTTTCAGTACCACAGATCGAACTCGGGACCTTGAGCTTGCTAGGAAGGCACTCATGCCACTGACCTATATTCAACCCCAAGATTTGTATTTTTCTTTCTTTCTTTCCTATTTATTTATTTACTTATTTTTTGTATTTTTAGGGAAGGGCCTACAGGGTGTTCAGGGTCTCACTACTAGATTGGACTCATACTGACCCGCCTGTTTACAGCCTCCCAAGAGCTGGGATAACAGGCGCATTCCTCCACGCCCAGTCTCAATTGCTATCTCAGCGCACCCTGGGAGCAGGGCTGGCACAGCAGTTCCAGGGATCGAACCAAGAATTGTATTTTTCAACTTAAAAAAAAAAAAAGTAAGTAAAATACAAGGCAAAAAATTTCATGCTGGGCCGGGGAGATGGCTCAGTAGGATAAGCGCTTGACTGACAAACGCAAGGATCTGAGTTCAATCCCCGGTTCCGCAAAAAAAAAAAAAAACATTCATGTATCTCCATTTGACTTCCATTTTCCCTAAAAAGAATTTTTAAAAGTATGTATATAAATACCTTACAGGAACTCTTGCCTTTTAACTTCAACCTATTTATACATACACACTTATGCCTTTTGGGCATGCTGTCATTTTCATCAGAAAAGAGGATCTTAAATTGCCTTCTGGTATCCAGCTTTTGAATCTAGAGAAGTACTTCTCATTGCATAACTCTTTTTTTCTTGAGACAGGGTCTTGCTATGTAGTTCAGGCTGGCCCTGAGTTCACCCTGTAGCCTGGGTTGGCCTTGAACTCATGGCATTCCTCTTGCATGAGCCTGCTGAGTGCTGGGATTATAGGTGTGTGCCAGCACATGTCTTCATTGTATATTTTATATACCAGTTGCATAAGAAAAAAACTATGGCTAAATAAATCTGAGGAAAACGATTATAAGATTAATCAGATTTTTATAGATACCTCAAAATTTTCAAATCTGCTAATATGTATATTGCCTCTCCAAAAACTGATACAAGGGGCTGGAGAGATGGCTCAGTGGTCTAAAGCACCTACTTGAAACAAGCTTGGCAAAGCACAGGGACCGTGGTTCGATCCCCAGCACCACATGCCAGCCAGCCCTGCCCCCTGGTGGGCTGAGCTGGCCACACACACATGCAATAAATAAATGTAATAAAAATAAATAAATATTAAAAAAAAAAAAAAAAACTGATACAATAAAGAGGAATTCCAAAATGTTTAGAACCTAAAAGATGGCAAATGTAAATTTTACATGTAAAGATTTACTATTCTTTCCCTTTCATAATTCTCACTATATATCCACTCTGGCCCTCAGACTGCCCTATGAAAGACACATTCAGTATTCAAAGCCTCGTGATTCAAGAAACTGATCTGGAGTTAAATGCCTGTCTTCCTGAATGAGGAGTCCTCCCTCACTGTGCCCATCCCTCCCTGAGTGCTCTATGTCCCTCCGTCCCACAGCCATTCCATCTGCAAGTCCTATCATGGCTCCTAGTTCGTAGCTAGGAGCCAGCTCACCCAGTGCCCATGCCACAGTCCCCAAGCTAGTAGAAAACAGGCCTCTAACCTGCTCAGCAGCCACATTGTCAAGGAGAACAAGGAAGTCCACGTCATCACTACTGTCAGTGCCCATCCCTTCTTTCACCTTCTTCAAATCATCTGAGATCCCTGGAAGCAAAGCAGCAGCTTCCTTTCGGCCTCTGTCAAAAATATAAAAGCAATCCATTATATAGTATGGTGAGCAGCTGTTGGCACTGAATTCTCATTTAACTTTCACAGCCCAGTGGAATTAGCTGTATTATTCCCAATGTAAAAATGAGTGAAGTGAGGCTCAAAATATCAAATGATTTGTAAAAACAAGAATCAGGGTTAGCATAAAAGGCTAGATTTCCTGAATCCTACTCTAATGTATCTATCTATTATACCAGCAATTATGCATAGCCCATATCTATTTTTAAAACATTTTCTTTCTTAAAGAAAATGGAATGTATATAGTAAATATATTATATAGTCTTAGCTAGCCCAGAAATACCCGAGGACTGAAAAGTGTCCTTAGCTCAAACCAATCCACTCTGCACAGCAGCATGTTGGTAAGCGAAGGAAAGGCAGGGTCTTCTGATGCTTGCACACCTGGGTGTGTGTGGATGTCCGGCTCAATCATTTTTTATTTTACCTGTCAGTTTCCTCATCTGCCCCACTCCAGGGCCTACTTGCCAGGATAATGCTTTGTAAAGCAAAGCCCCACACAAGGACTTACAGTCATCTCTCCAATCAGAGTGGCTTTACCCAAACTTCCTGTATGTTCGTTATGAGCCCACCACTGTGAAGAAGAGCTCTTCTACTCCCCAGACAGCTGAAGTCAGACCTGAGTGTAACTGGCCCCACTCTCCTAACTACCAGTGGGTTAGGGTCCCCATGCAGGCAGTCTGCCAGCAGCGGTGGGAAAAGGCTATTTCCCCTGGTGAGAGAGAGCCTCTGGCCAGTTACCTGGTTCTCTGCCTCAAGCCCCAGCAGTTCTGGTAGTTGGGGTACAAGACTTCAGAGCTTGCCTCATCAGTGTGGATGATGATCGACCCTAGAAGGAAGGATGTGCAGGCAGAAAGGGACTTCAGCTTTTTCTTCCCAGCATCCCCACTCTGTACTACCTCTTCTCTTTGTCTGTAGACACAAAGGCACCAAGGGGCAGATCACAAGGTCACGCTGTAGGACAATGTATTTCTTTAACATGTGCTGGCTCTGCTTCCACACGCTCTCCTAGAGCCCGAGCACTGGGAAAAGCCAGTACCAGCCTCGTTCTGTATAGCATATGCCTTCTGGAACCACAAATGGACTGGAGCACGTGGAGACCAAGATCAGACTGGCATTTCCCTCCCATTCCAAAACACCCCCACCTTGAAGCACTACCAGCACTTAGGTATTCTTGTACATAGGCTGTCCCCAACTTGATCAGAATCCGAGTTTTATTTGTTTGGTTGGTTGGCTGGTTGGTTCCCACAGATCAAACCCCCTACATCAAGTCAATATGGTAACTTATCAAATGACAAACTGAAAAAGGGTCACACATACTCTCAGAATTCAAGTTTGCCCAAAATAAAAGCCAGCCTTCTAGGTAAACTGCTAAAAACCAAGGATTAGACTATAGTCATGTTTCTTTCTTTCTTTCTTTCTTTTTTTTTTTTGTCGGAACCAGGGAATGAACTCAGGCCCTTGAACTTGCCAGGCAAGCGCTTATTCTACTGAGCCATCTCCCTGGCCCCATGTTTCTTACAGATGCTGCCCTTGTACCTCCTGTCAGTGACAAAAGAAGGTGTCCTAACATCTGCCCATGCTCTGCTCTGTGCCTGTGGCAGGTTCTTTCCACAGTTCAGGCCTCATAGCAAAAGAAACAGCTCCCATCAGCTGCAATATGGAATTCAGTGTCCAATCTACAGAGTAATTAGGTCAATCTAAGTCCCCAAAGCAATTTATTGCCAAGAAAATTATTGATAGTAAGAGCACCAGGACCCTAAAAGTAGCTACGGTAACTTATGAGAATATCAGAGTTGGTCTGAACAGAAGAAAATTAGGCTAAAAGTCACTGATGTTACTTGAATCTAACAAGTAAGCTGCTTTGGGAAGTCACTTCCCTCCTTAAAGGTTTATCTGTTAATCAAAAGATAGGATTACATCAGGGATTTTCAATTGCTCTAAAGTAGTGGAACCTCCTCCATCATTACATAAAGCAAAAAATATGATGATGTCTGCAATATATGAGGATCAGTAAAGTGAAGCACAGGTTCTTCAGAGGGGATATAGGAACCATAGAAAGAAAAGTGGATAGGACATGCAAGCAGACTACACTATGGATTTCCAGTACCCTCACATCCCCAAATGAAGAATTACAGGTTCTGCAAGACATGTGAAAAGAACAGAACACACAATCAGCCCTTCTCCAGATACACACGTCCTCACAGAAGCAGCCATTCATAAAAGTAAAGAGCACAGATTCTGAATCCAGAATGTCAAGAGTCTGAAACCCATCTACATAAGGTACCAATTCTGTGTGCTTGGGCAAATCACTTAGGTTCTCTCTCTCTCTGGGGTTCTCTCTCTCTCTCTCTCTCTCTCTCTCTCTCTCTATATATATATATATATATATATATTTTTTTTTTTTTTTTTTTAATAAATAAATAAAAATAAAAAACGCTGTACCAGGGATTAAACTCAAGACCTTGTGCTTGCCAGGCAGGTGCTTATGCCACTGAGCTTTATCCCCAGCCCCTTAGTCTTCTAATCTTTTTTTTTTCTTCTAAAATTTCATTTATTTGTGTGTGTGTGTGGCCAGCTCAGCCCACCAGGGGGCGGGGCTGGCTGGCATGTGGTGCTGGGGGATTGAACTGCAGTCCCTATGCTTTGCTTAGCTTAGCTTGTTCTAAGTAGGTGCTTTAGACCACTGAGCCATCTCACCAGCCCCAGTCTTCTAATCTTTAAAAGGAGACAACAGTACCTACTTCACAGCATCATCACAAGAATTAAACAACATATGTAAACTTCTTAAAACAGTCTTTGATACATATACAAACCTTTTAGAATAATAACTATGATTTAAACCTCTATTATAATGCCATAAACCACCAATATTGCAACTGGGGTCTGTTACTGGTGTCAGAATATTACAACTATAGCTTATGGCAAATAAAACACAGCAGACACTGAAATAAATATTGAACAAACAACTGACCGAGCAGGGCAGACTCACTGTTGCCAGCTTTCCCCACAGCCTGATTTTCTATAGTTGATCCACGGGCCCTCCAGCACTTCTCTAGGATTTTACTCCTAAAGCAGCATCCAAAGTTGTGCCACTCCCATTAATGGTGGCATTTTCTGAAGTTCTTTGGTCCATTCAAGACCCCTGATATTGGGAAAGGCCTGGAGGCAGGTGGGACACAGTCCAAATACCTCTGGGTCCTAGACAGGGCACTGCTACTCTGGCAGCCATACTAGAAGTTAGGATACCATTTCCTTTACTGGTGGAAACAGGATGCTGCTCTTGTCCCTTCCTGTCAATGACCAAAGAAGGTGTCCTAGCATCTGCCCATGCTCTGTGTCTGTGCCTGTGGCAGGTTCTTTCCACACAGTTCAGGCTGCATAGCAAAAGAAAAAGCTCCCATCAGCACTGATTTGGAATTCACCAAGTCTAAAACACATGCTACTTAGCTCAGTCTAAATCCCATAGTTATAGTGATTCTAACATGGAAAGGATTCAGTATGTACCAATACTGTTTTAAGAACTTTACATTTAGAAATCAGCAGTTTGCCTGTTTTGGAGAATGATATAATTACAGTGGTATGTCAGCTCATAACTATATTCTTCCCACAGTTCTGGTTATAAACCAAATTGGATGAGAACCAGATCAAATTCAATGGTTAGGTTCATTGTTGATCTTACGTGGAAATTTGTAACTTCTCACACCCAGTTCAGTTTTGTGACCAGAATCATGAGAACTGAATTTATGAACTAAGGCATCACTGTATCATGTATGAAAGTAATTTTGCAGTTGTAAATTTAAGGCTTAATAATTAATTGGTTTACAATCTGTGTGTACATAAAGTGGTCACCATTTTTCTCCCTCAACCACACTTGGTGTTTCTGGAAAGAGGATATTTCCTTTTTGTTGTTTTTTTTTTTTTTTTTTTAATTTATTTATTTATTTGTGTGTGTGTGTGTGTGTGTGTGTGTGTGTGGCCAGCTCAGCCCACCAGGGGGCGGGGCTGGCTGGCATGTGGTGCTGGGGGATTGGACCGTGGTACCTGTGCTTTGTTTAGCTTGTTCTAAGTAGGTGCTTTAGACCACTGAGCCATCTCACCAGCCCCGATATTTCCTTTTTGAAGCTGAGCAAGTTAAGAACATCCAGAAGATCAGACACTGTAGATTATTCTTAGGCTCAAGGGCCAGTCTACCTTGCTTAATGTTCGCTAAGAAGCACACTGTGTTTAGCAGCCAACTTCAGCCAGAATTTGTGGAGGACAACCTGTGAGAGTCCTTGAAGGAAGAGCAATTGTCTCCACTTTGGCTGAACCTGACCCTCTTCCCACATATTGATATGTACAGGGCTGGCTAGGACTTTTCCTTATCCCTTCAATTGGTGTTAAGCAATGCATTATCAGTCCAACCAAGGTGGTGATGTGTAGTTTTTGAAACAAAGATGGCAGGGGTGTTTCCCAGGAACCTGGTTATTCCCACCTGTAAGCTAGGACAAGGCTAGCTGAAGAGTCAGTGCTCTACACTATAGGCTGGGAACATGCCTTGAGATAAGAGGCTATGGCTTTGCAGAGCATAAAAGGATACACAACAGAGCATCCAAAACATTAGACACTATCTCAACTGTGTTATGCAGATTACTCTTTCTGCACATCCTTCTTTGCATATCGCAGAGGTGATTTCAGGCCTCCTACCTAGCCCAGCTCACAGCACTCACCTACTTGCCATCAGTCTCAGTCACTCATCCTCAAGCCATTCCTTTCTTCATGAATTAATAAAACCCAGGCTTGGCTCCAGGTCAAGGTCTTTGCTGCAGATGTCATTGTAGCTTTCTTAGGACCCCTTGGTTCCCCATAACTATAATCATGCGTTAGTGTGTTTATTCTCATCATGGGTAGATTGGAATTATCTTGCTAGAATTCTAATAACTTTTTCATGGGCTTACAAATTTGAACTTCCTGGGCCATTTTGAGCTCCCTATAAGACTTGTAACATTTTTTTTTTTTTTTTTTTTTTTTGGCGGAACTGGGGATTGAACTCAGACCCTTGCACTTGCTAGAGAAGCACTTATTCCACTGAGCCATCTCCCCGCCCTCCTATAAGACTTAACAGCAGCACCCAATCTAGCTGGGGACAAGGCCAGCCTCCTCTGGCCTGGAAGGTTCCACTGTCTTACATATTTTTAAAAGTTTAGTGGAAATTTTGTTTCTATTTGAGATACTGATAAAAGCAGCTACACAAAATAAGAACCTTTGCCTTATGGTACCATTCAGTATTTTAGTAGTGGTGAGGTCAGAATGATCTGAAATCCAGACCAGTAATTAAATGTGAATTTGAATTAATTACAAATGATAAAATACAGGCTCATTTGATGGCCAGGAGCTCTCAAACATAGGAAATAAGAAATGTAGTCACTGGTGGTGAAAAATTCGGGAGTCACTAACTGCAATCACTCACTGGTTGAATATATCAAAACCCAAACTTGATAGATTTCTTCACCTAGGAACAGCTGAACAGAATAGTATTAATGACACCTGGATCATGCTATGAATTGTCATCAATGTCATAGCAAGAGCAACAATCTTAGGTCCCAGCTAAGGATCCCTCCTGCCATCCTATCTTCTCAGCAGTGCTTCACTACTGTTCATAATACCTGATAGGGCTGCTTTTTGAAACTTGTGGAGAAGCCAGAGAAGTCAGGAGTCTAGGGCACATTGGCTCAGGTGACTAGGGCAGCACAAGGCTAGACTGGGAAGAAGCCTCTAGAATAGGTACACTCAGGAGTCAATGTGTAGAAGAGAGGTCAAAGGAACAGGCACTAAGGATGAGAGGGGTTTTGGAAGTGAGAACAAAGAGCTGCTCAGGGACGGGCTGACCTTCAGACCTCAGACACAAACCTTCTTTATCACGCTGAAAAAGCCCAGCCAGCAAACAACGAGTAGACTCCAGATTCCGATACATGTTAGTGGAGCGAACACTGGAAAAAAAAAATGAAGGAAAAGGCACAGATGCTCATAAAAGGAAAATAGAATTATATAAACTCTACCTTACCACTAAACAGCTGGGAATCCTTCAAGGCTAAATAAGGAGTGTGATGGAACTAAAAGAATACTTTACCTCTCTTGGGATGGTGGGACTCAAAGGCCAATGAATGTGACCCCAGTAACCACCTGTTCACGGGATCCTATGACATAAGAGTGGCTGCATCATGGCAAAGTATCACACAAATCATTAGACACTACCGTGGGGATCAGTACAGATCTGCTCTCGCTCAAGACCTCAGATCAGGTGCAACATCTCTTCTGGTGACTTACAAGACCTCCTGGGGTTTGAAGGATGGTGAAAGAAAGGGGATGGTGTCCACATATTTCTTCCTCAGTCTCTCTCCCAAGGCAAACATCTGCTCCATGCCCACCTTGGTCAGCTGCCCAGCAAACATGCCCCCCTGAAGTGGGGGAGAAAGCAGGAGAAGAATGAAACAATGGACAGCCTGCTGAACTCAGCCCATGGAGAACCACCGACACTTCGCAGTGGGCCTCCCAGAGCAAAAAACTATTGCTCACCTTCAGGGTGGTCTTGTGGTAGAGGGCATCATAAGTAGAATGTGGTTTGGGACCACCGGCTAAATTGGTGACTGTGTAATCAAACTGAGTTTGAGGAGGGACTTCTAATAGATGGGGGCTCCACTCTACCTGTTGTGACCATAAAAAAAAAAAAAAAAAAAAATTAAGCAAAGGTTCTTAAAATAGCATTAATAGCCAACAGCCCTATAACATTCCCATGGAAAGAAAGCAGCAAATTTTATTCCCAATCAAAAAAAGAAATACTCATGATTTACTATGAGCTGTCCTGAGCTCATGTCTTGTTACCACTACACAAAATCTCAGCTTTAAGGGGTTGCTCTAGCTCTAAGCTCACACTGAAGCACAAGGGAGAAGGGAGGAGCGATGGAATATCCAGCACACAAATAACTGCTGAATGAGTGAATGGATGAATGAATGAATGAATGAATGAATGAAATAAGATCTCAGATGGTGTCAGTAAGCATTGCTAAGGAACTATTCTGCAGGTTTCTATGCCTAGCAACCCCTACTGAGGATTCTGGCTAATATCTTTTGTTACTACCATATACTTTTTCCTTCCTCTCATTTTATTTCTGAAACAAGCACATCTCTAAAGAAATTGCTTCTTTCTCATCTCCCTTTGTAACCCGCAATCTGTCCCCATCCCAACTGTAATGTAATGGTTTTTAAAACATCACAAGTGGAAAAAAATCCATCAATCATTGTAAGTGGTCACAGATCTCATAGCTCCAATTAAGCATAAAATTCTTTTTTTTTTTTTTAATGTACTTTAGTACAGGGACTACAGGGCCTCACTACACAGATTCAACTCATGGTTATCCTCCTATTTTTACCTTCCCAAGTGCTGGGATTACAGGGGCACACCACCATGCCCAGTCTCAGTTCCAGACTCAGCTGGGAGCGGGGCTGGGGCCCAAACGGCACAACCCATAAAATTCTTAACAGTCAGATGTGATGACTTCAATTTTAAAAACAAGAATTTTTTTTTTCTAGTCCCTTATATCTGCTCCTTTTCTCAATCTATTACGTCTCTGTGCAACAATAATTCTCCTAGGCCTGATTCCCTGCTGCTCCATGATCCCTGTACCAAGCTCTATTGATTTATTGCCTAGTGAAAGTCACTAGCAATGGTCCTTCCACTGTCTTACTATAGAGTATAAACCTTATGACTTCATGCAAAAACATCTCCTCCTTCCCAGTTCTGATCCACTAATTCCCCTGGGAGGGGACTTTTCCTGAAAAGCCAGGAAAAACAGAATCAAATTTCCCCTGGGAGGGGAAATCCTTCAAGGCCTCACAGCTGCATGAAGGCCCAGTCTCTCCTCCAGCATCCTCCTCATCACTTCATCCCCATCCTTCACACTTCTCTCAAGAAGCACAACTTTAATTCCTTTACTACCAGTCTCACACTTTCTGGCTTTTTAAAGTATCATTTCTCCTGCCTGGAAAAATTTCTTTTATCTGAAAAGACTCATTTATTCCATAAGACTCAACAGGCCATGACGATGATCTCAGCTTACACAGCAACCTCAATGACTTTCTGTGGGAGTCTTAACCAAAATGTACCAGGAGAAGTCTTCTCTGGTGCATCCTGTTCAGTAGACTTAGCTTCCTGGGAAGAGATTAGGTCACCTATATTCTGGATGCATTAAAAGGGCCGGGCATGCCACAAATTCAATTAATAGTTCTGACAACTTGCCAAACCTTATGGAAGACACCAAGCCTGAGGTAACTTGATCTGTTTTTCCTGGCTTTTCAGGAAAAGTCTGGCTTTTCCAGGATTTCTTTCCAGAAGAAGCAAGCTATGAATATAAATGACAGTAATTCTATAATAGATAATGTGCTGCCAGAAGCCAGATAAAGGCCATCATAGTTCAAAGGCAAGACAGACCTTTTCTTTTGGCTAAGAATTCCGGGAAAAGTTTCATGGGAGGAATGGTATTTGAAATGAATAGGATTTAGACAAGCACAAACCTGAAGTTGTAAGAAGCAGGTAAAGAGAGAAGGTTGCATTCCAAATTCCAAATACAGCCTGAGGAAGGTAGAGATGGTGAAGAATTACAGCAAAGAATTGGTTTAGTTCCTTCAACCTGGGAATAGCTTTCAAGCTTTTTAATTAACAAGTACCAACTTGTTTCAGTTACTTTTCGCTTGTTGCTGGGACAAATATCCGACACTCAAAATGAAGGAAGGAAAGGCCTAACTCACAGTTACTAGAGGTTTCAGTCCATACTCAGCTAGCTATAAGGGCAGAGCGCAATCTTTCACCAGCACAGCAGAAGGGATCGGGCGCTGCTCAGGCCGCTAGCTGGCCTCTCTCCTTCCCTACATTGTAATGCAAATTACCTGCCGGCAGCATCCACATCCACAATAATCAACCACAAACTCCAGAAACTGCCCCATAACTATGGCATGAGGCTTTGGGGGAACAACTAGACACAAACCATAACACAACTAAAGTTGAATTTTAGATTTGTACATATAAATGCAAAAATTTCTCTAGTTCAAATAGGAATAGGACCCCAGAGTCTCAGCCAGTCAGTACCTTGACAGCCTATGGCTCCAAAGAGTAGTTAGAAAGCTGGCAGTATATACATATAACTGTGTGGAATGATTACTTGGGAGATGAGACTTAGTTCAATCAACAAGAGGCCCAGTGGGGCTAACTCAACTGAGAACACCTACCTGAGGAACAAACTCCCAGGAGAACCCTTGAAGCCAAGAACTCTCTGGCTTTTATTTAGAATGTCAGTTTAAGTGAGAAAAGCAAAAGAAAAAACTGTGGGCAAGGAGCACTCTCAAGGCAAAGTAGTTTTTCTTGGGTAAAGAGGGAGAACAATGGCCAGGCACAACCTGCTTCACTGATGTTGTTGTTTAACCATCCATTTCTCATAGAGCCTGTGTGCTTTTTCCCCCTAGTTTAACCATTCACTCCTCAGCCAAGTGCCCCACACAATGAGAATGGGAAGACCAGAAGCAGAAAAGTAAATGTTATGATGTCTGCAGTAGTTTACATGACTAAGGTTTCATCGAAGGCAGGAGAAACAAAGAGGGAGATGTAAGATATTTAAGTTAGACTTGGCACTTAAGTAAACAAAACATTTACTTGGCAGATGGGTTGGTAGGTAAACAAAGAGGAATAAAGAGAAACAACACTTTGATTTTTAGTCTAAGTGTCTAGCATGAAGAGCATAATGGAAGTATTCTTTGACTAACACTAAGACAAAGATGAACAAACTTCTAGAAAGCCAGTTCAATTTTAGTCATTTTAATTTGAGATAGCTCCCTGTATTCCCTGTACTTTCTCACTGTGCATATTCTCATAATTAAAATCCATTTTGTCCCTCTCCTTTATCATGTTGTAAACTCCTTTAAAGCCAAGACTGAATTATCCATCCTGGAAAATCCATTGTCTAGTATAGGCTAGACCCACTACAAGATCCTCTAGCTACACTAAGGAATTGACTCTTAGGCAGATTCTCCAAGTGAAGATTTTTGGTGTTTCCCAGGGGACAGTTTCTAAAGTCCAGTCATGTCAAGTTTATAGTATGTATTTTTGGATATTCAAGAATAAACGGGGGCCAGTGAGATAGCTTGGCAGCCTAAGTGCCTGCCTTGCTAGCACAAGGAGCTGGAGTCAATTCCCAGTACTGCATGCCCTTCAGGGCCTGCACCATGCTGTGCTGTGCTGGCCAGTGAAACTGGGCATGTAATCCCAGCATTGGGAAAGCTGAGACAGAAGGATCACCATGAGTCTAAGCTGTGTCACAAGATCCTGTACCAAATATATAAGTAAATCTTTAAAGAAAGAAACAATACATCAGTTTCATATATGACATCCACATGACCCCTCTGTCCCCTACTCTCATTCTCACTCCTGCTTTTCAGCTTCCAAATTAGTAAAGTCTAACTTGTCAATTTTCTGTTTTATTTATAGCCCATCTTCAAAAAGAAACTTAAATTAATTATAACAATACTAATCAATAGTAATTTATCAAGCCCCAGCACCATATGCCGTGCCATCCCAGCCCCAGGTGCACTGAGCCAGCCAGCAAGACCAGGCGTGGTGGTGCACTCGTATAATCCCTGCACTGGGGATCCTGAAAACAGGAGGATCACTGTGAGTCAGAGCTGCACAGTGAGACCCTGCACCAAATACACTCAAAGAAAAAATAAAATAGGTAAGAAAGACAAAAGGAAACAAGTACAAGAACAAAAATGAATACCATGATACGGGGGCTGGAGAGATGGCTCAGTGGTCTAAAGCACCTACTTAGAACAAGCTTGGCAAGGCATCAGGGACCGCGGTTCATCCCCAGCACCACATGCCAGCCAGCCCTGCCCCCTGGTGGGCTGAGCTGGCCACACACACACCTCTCTCTCTCTCTCTCTCTCTAATAAATAAAAATAAAAAAAAAATTAAATAAAAAAAAATAAAAAAAATTAAAAAAAATACCATGATACGCTTATTTAAAAATGCATATCACAAGGATCCAAATACTTATCACAGGTAGACCACAGCTTTGGCAGTAAGCGTTCTGAAGAAATGTGATCAGCTAGACAAGTTTAACGATAAAAGCAAGCCAACTGTTGGGAGAAGTACACCGTTTCTAATGCTAACAGACAAATTTCTCCCAAGGGTCCTCATAAAGAAGATAGAGTAATAGAATGAACATCTTTTCTGCAGTCATGCAGTGAGCTCTGTGGGAATGTTTCTCCCAGTTCCCTCAACACTAAAGCATCTTGCATAGAAGGTAAATCTGTACTGGGAATCAATATCTACCCTACGTAAAATTTTTTCTTTTACCTAGGATGTAAACAAAAACTTTCTAAGTATAGATTTTAGAACAAAGTAATACACTGGTATCACTAAAAATTTTTTTAGTTACTGATATTTGAGCCCTATCTTGGACTAATCACATTGACTAGTCACAGAGCTAGCATCTCCATTTTCTAATGCTGTAGGGTCCAGATAATTTTATAAAGCCTCACCAGAGAAGTTTTTACAATGTTTGAATACCCTCAACCAATTAAGTCAGACTTTCTGGGAGGAATATTTGAGTATGAGTAGTTTTTGTTTTTGTAGAAAAACTGAACTCTGGACTTGCACTTGACAGGTGGACTCTTGTGCCCCCGAGCTATATCGTGTTTGGTTGTTTTTGATGCAAGATCTCACTATGCAATTCAGGCTGGCCTCAAACAGGCAATGGTTCTGTTTTAGCTCCCATGGGCTTGAATTGTAAATGTCTGCCACAACACCCACTAAGCATTAGTGTTTTTTAAACTTTCCCAGTTCAGTTAAGTGTCTTACCAAAGTTAAGAACTATCAGTCCAGAGGAATGGATAGACTGACCCGTATAACCTTCACACATTGCTTCCTGAATAACACCTTTCTTAGCTTACCTCTGGACAGCACCAGAGCAATATGACATTATTCTGCCCAGCACAACTGCTCTCAAATAAAACCCAAAATGCCTTAACTATGAATGTGGGGCACAGGGAACTTTATTTTATAAAAATAAAAACATCCCTGGTAGAGACCACCTTGCCACTGTCCAGACGACGTCTCAGGGAAACCTGAAAGCAGGATCTAATCTTCTTTTGAAAATGTACTTGACCTACTCTACTAATCAGAAAAATGGTCAAACAAGTTCCACAATTTTATTTCCAAAGTATAATCTTTCAGCAAGACAGATTAAATCAACAGCTATTCAAGCCATAAGAAACAAACAGAATATGTAGTTTTAAACAATGCTACTTTTTACAGATTTATGAAATAATTGAATGACTTGTTACATGTTTTATCTATAGACCAGTTAAAAATCAGGAAACATGTATCAAAAGCAATTTTAGTTTCAGAATTTTACCACATAGTCTCATCTGACTAAAATGAATAACCAAACCAGAAAGATTAGAAAATCCCAACAACCATGTCTATCAAATTGGATAGTGAAAAAAAATTTTTTTGGCTATCCAAACACAAGTTATAGAAAGTGGATAACATTTACTAACAGACTAAGTTGAAAGAGAGTTGGTTCCATTCCTGGCTTTTATACATAAGAGTTGATACGACTGGTAGCTAACATGTTCAAAGGATCTGCCTAAAGTCTTCAGAGTGTGGACAAGACAGGTACATGTGTCTCCTCTCACTGCAAAGTGAGGCCATGGAATCAGATGTTCCATATTTTGTAGCTGTGCAGACCAAAGATAAATGAAGCTGGTACGCAAAGCAAAAGCTACCCCTTTTACCAAAAAGGCAGAAGACACTAATCACATACCCCAGCTCAGAAAAAAAAAGTCTCTAAAAGAACCTAAATCTTTCTCCAGGGCATTCAGGGGATAGGTATACCATACAGACCAGAATGGGTCCAGGTACAGACAGGCAAACTTTTTTTCTCTGTTACTGCCAATAACTTTGTTTTTAATATAATACCCCCACATATTACTTCCCAGCCCTTTCTAACAAGAATAAATGGAGATCAATGAGGACTGTTGGTACATAAGAGACACAATGTTTTGGCCAGGCAAGGTGGCAAATGTCCCTGGAGGCTGAGATTGGAGGATTAGGAGTTAGGGCCCAGCCTGGACAATTTAACTGTCCTACTGAGACCCTGTCTCAAAATCAAAAATAAAAAAGGGCTGGGATTGTAGCTCAGTATAAAGTATTCGAGTTTTTCTTATTTTATTTTTGTATTTTAGGGAAGAGTCTACAGAGTGTTCAAGGTCTCACTACTAGATCGGACTCGTAGTGATCCACCTGTTTACAGCCTCCCAAGAGCTGGGATTACAGGCTTGCTGCCACCACACCCAGTCTCAATTGCCCTCTCAGCACCTGGGGGCAGGAGGGCTGGCATGGCAGGCCTGGGGATCAAACCCCCAGCCCCAGAGCCTGCTTGCAGGCACTTCAATCCACTGAGCTATTTGGCCAGCCCAAGTATTTGGGTTTAAAAAAAAAAGACAAGTGTGATATCTTGGGTCTGAATAGCCCCCGAAGGCCTCATGCGGTCATCAGTGGGGTTTGTCAGAGATGGCAGAATCTGGAGTGTGTGACGGCAGGATTTAGAGTGTGCGATTACTACATTATTCCACTGATTGGTTTGGCAAAGGAGGATTCAGGGTACCCCTAACTCACGTGTGAGTGGATACAATACAAAGGACAGAAAGAATCTGTCTTTTGTCATTGGTTGCTTGCTAGGTCCCTCGTTTGCTGCCTTCCACCTGTCATGACCTGTCTCTCCTCCGCAGTGGCCTTCTCCCATGCCACCACTTTGGATGTTGGGTATTTTGTCTCAGCAACAAGAAAGTAACTAAGATACCAAGTAAGAGGCTGAAAAACAATCAAAGCATCAAAAAGGAAAAAAAAAAAAGAAAGCTATTCTAGTACCAGCTAGAAAGTAGGATAATCAATAGAAGACCAACTAGAGAACTAGTTAAGTGCTTGCAAAAATATATTTATGAAAGAAGGGCCTTAGGGGCTGGAGAGATGGCTCAGTGGTCTAAAGCACCTACTTGAAACAAGCTTGGCAAAGCACAGGGACTGCGGTTCGATCCCCAGCACCACATGCCAGCCAGACCCGCCCCCTGGTGGGCTGAGCTGGCCACACACACACACAATAAATAAATGTAATAAATAAAAATAAATCAATATTTAAAAAAAAAACTTTAAAAAAAAAAGAAAGAAGGGCCTTAAAGGTTTGATTTCGTCTGGCCTTAAAGGTTTGATTTCGTCTGTGGCCAACGTTAAAAATCGGATTTTCAGTTATGTGAAGCTACATCCGTCACAGTTTGGGGAAAGTAGCAATGATAACAAAGACTATGCCAGTTTTAGCTGCTCTAACATCAGGGAAAACTAACCGTACAAAAGTATGCCATAGGTAAGTGGGACACTTGGGTGCCTAGGACTTTCTGGTTGTCTGTGTCTCTTCACTAAGCTCTTCTGTTACAAATTGGTCATATCCACGAAGGATAATCATCTAAAACCAAACCAAAACAACCAAACGCACATCATTATTGTGCTTTATTCATAATCATCCTGGTCAAAATAGGCAGATTTTAAACCATCACAGCCACAAGACCCGCCAATTCTGACTTACATTTTAAATTTAAACTTTCAAAAGTGTCCCTTTCATTACAGGTTTAGAATCCTAAAATGTAAAGGCAACACAGCACTTGTTACCAACAAGCCTTCAGATCTCAAACGGCCTTTGGTACACCCTGAGCTATCGACCATAAGCAAGTCCACCTCTGCCATTCCGGTTATAAAGGTCCCGGCAATTCTAGCCATCGGAAGAACCACACACAAGTGCACTGCAGCCCCGACCAAGTTAACCCAGACACTTCCGGGTAATAGTGCACCAGATACACGCTGAATTAGAACCTACATTTTGCCAAGATCCCCGGAGACTCCGTTGCGCCTTACGAAGGCCAGCTATGGCATGAAACAAAGTTTGGGGCCGTCTTTTCCTGGGGGGCCCACGCACTGGCCGCCGGAGGAGGTAAAGAAGAGAGGGCAAGGACCCCGGAGACCCCCTTCCAAGAAGTTAACCCGCCCGCCCACCAGCACCGCCCGGCCCAGCCCTCACCTGCTCCTGCAGCGGGAGCGCCTTGAGAGGACTCCGCGCCCCGTGTCGAAACACGACCTGTACCATTTTCAGCTCCAGCAGGCTGCGGTCAACAGGACTCTGGCCGTCGGCTGGCCGACGCTCTGCCGACGCTACCCGCTGCCGGTGGAAGCAGTACGCCAGCGAGGTCAGGGCGCCCAGCGGCGCCCACACGCGCGCGCCGAAGCCCCCGGGGATCATGGTGGTGGCGCCTCGCGGCCCTCCGGAACGCAGCCCTCCGTGGACGCCGGGGTCGGCGGCCGCTCCCAAGCTCGCGGAAACTGGAGGGAAAGCACGGAAGCCGACACCGCAGCGGCTCCCAGCCCTCAGAGACACCCGGAGAAGGGCCGTAGCGGAAGAAGCCGAGGTGGAAGTACAGAGCCTCCCTACGAGTTGGCTTTCGCCCGGGACAGAGCTGGTCGCCCCCGCTCGTAGGCTGGGCCTGGGGATGCTCAGTTCATCTTTGGCCCTCTAGGGAACTTAAACTTGGATTTCTAATTTGGCCCACAGCACTCTAGAATGGGCAGAAGCAGCACTGGACTTGTGCATACCGAAAGCTCCTCTCCAACAGAACCCTCTAATCTACTTTCTTACAAACCCTAGATCACCTCCTCACCCTCTCAGAATGGGCCAAGAGGAACCGCGCAGAGGAGCACGGGAAAGGAGTCCCGCGGTGACAGCCTGTCCGCAAGCTGGGAACTGTGAGGACTACAACTCCCATGGAGCAGTGCGCAGCCCCCCAGTCTGTAAGGCCCCGCCCCATCCCGCCCTGCCCCCAGTCTCCAGGCCCGGGTCCCTGGACTAGGTGGGCGGGGCTGAGCAGGTCCTGTAAGTAGGCGAGACCGGGTTAACAGCCAAGGGTAACACAGAGTTAAGAATAGAACTGGATGGTGGAGGGAAGTAGTTAGGTCCTATCTTTACGTGCAGAAAAATTTAGTCTCTAAATCCTGGAAGCAGGGTTACTGAAACCATGAACAAACATATTTACTAAGTGGTTAGCATTTGCAAAACTTGGCCCTCAGACTTTATATTTAGTTTATGTTTATCATCAGTTTTTAAGATGGTTAAGAAAATTCTCAGGTGTAAATCATCATAATCACTTGAAGCTTTAAGTTTCCTGATGTGTTTACTGATAGTCAGAATCTATCATTCTGTGGAAGAAAGTCCAGACCTTCCTTGCTCAAGGTTGCCTGAGACTCTAGTCATCCCAAACCTGTATTCCCAGAATTCTGCAACAAGAGGCAACCTAGAACCGTTTGCAATCCTTACAAGGAAGAGGCAGCTGTGAGCAGAGTCTACCTATGTGACTTTGAACCATTTCTTTAATCATTCTCAGTGCTATCTTTGGGTGAAACTGGGACAGAAGTAAAGATGACATACCTAAGGGAATTCGAGCTTCACGCCTGAATCTAAACTTCTTCACAGACTGGAAGTTTCTAAATGTACTCCAGTGGGGAAGGAGGAGTCCTTTCGGAACATTGCCCTTTGCCTCTGCTTTTGTCAGTGTGCCAGCTCATAGATGTACTGCTCGGTCTTACTGTGTTCCCGGTGTGATTGAAAACTGAATCCTGTTTTCTATGAATTCAGCTCCTCTCACCCCCATTCACATATTAAAACCCTAACCTTCAGTGCACCTGTATTAAATAATGAAAGTTAAATGAGGTCATAAAGGCAGAATACTAATCCAGTAGAATTGGTGGTTTCATAAGAGAAAGAAAGATCTCTTGCCATGACCATACACTGAGGAAAGGTCATTGTAAGTATATGGGGGAAAGGCAGGCATCTGCGAGCAAGGGAGAGAGAGAGTCCTTACCAGAGTCTGATCACCCTAACTGCAGACTTCCAACTTCCAGTGTTGTAAATAAATACATTTGTTGTCTATGCCACCCAACTGATAGTATTTTGTTAGGACAACACAAACAGACTAAGACACTGAAGTAATATAGTCTCAGTAAAGCATTGGGAGCATCAGACAATATGGTTTTGGAACCTGTATAATGAGTTATAACCCAAATGATTGAGAGATTTTCCTGACAATTCTGCAAAAACGTGGTACAGTTCAGTGCAGAAAGGCCTTGGTATTGGAGCAGCTTCGGCAGTCTTGATAATTTTTAGCACATCAGAGCACCTTCAAAGGCAATGGAAGGGGCTGGTGAGATGGCTCAGTGGTCTAAAGCACCTACTTGGAACAAGCTTGGCAAAGCACAGGGACCGTGGTTCAATCCCCCAGCACCACATGCCAACCAGCCCCACCCCCTGGTGGGTTGAGCTGGCCACACACACACACACACACACAATAAATAAATGTAAAATAAATTAATTAATTAATTTAAAAAAAACAAAGGCAATGGAATATAGATACCTGGGTGCCAAAAGCTTTCTACCATAGTAGAAGCAGCAGCTCTAGTCTACCCTTTCCCTAATAGATAAGGCAGCATTGGCACAGACTTGGCAGGCACGGAGAATGTACAAACAAGATACCCAAGATTACTGAGTTCAGGCTTTTTGCTAGTGAGTCAGCATATGTTGTGGAGTCAGCCCATACATGCATGGTGAGTACATAAACAAGTAGTCTGCATTATATAACTTTTAGTGAACTCAGTGGTTGTAAGTAAGGGACTGGAACTGCAGCATTGGGTTCCACACCACTGAGATGGTAAAGGCAAATCAAACATTTCCACAGCTCCACGTCTTTTCTTTGGTTACCTGAAGTGAATCTTCCCAGTCTGGACTGGTGGCTAAGCAGGGAACATCCTCTTTGGTCTGTGTGAGCAATAGTAATGGTGTGCCCTGCCAAGGTGTGGGAGATGGCTTAGCAGATCTCTGTGGAAAGCCCGAGCAGGTAACGCTGGGAAAATGGGTTGCGTGTCTAGAAGAAAGTGCTCCTTCTCAGTCTACGTGAAACAACTCTTTGGGAGTCCTGTAAGTATTTTTATTTAAGTACATACTGCATGGTAGTGATGGTGCACTCCCATTTAAAAAGAAAGCTTGGAAGACTGACAATTGTATTCTGGAGACAGAGAAGGGAAGAGTAAGACACTTGCAACTTATTTGGGCCCTGATTGTGCTACCAGGTTGAGAAACAAGCCCTCCTTTTACCAAATTGTCTTCAGAGAGTTAAATGTAACATCCAAATCCTTTTTTTATTTTATTTTAGGGAAGGGTCTACAGGATGTTCAGGGTCTCACTACTAGATTGCACTCATACTGAGTCTCCTGTGTACAGTCTCCCAAGTGCTGGGATTGCAGGCCTGCGCCACTATGCCCAGTCTCAATTGCCTTCTCAGCGTGTCCCCAGGGTAGGGACAGCACGGCAAGGCCCTGAGGATCAAACCCTTGACTCCTGCACCTGCTTGCAGGCACTTTAATCCACTGAGCTCTTTGGCCAGCCCTAACATCCAAATCTTAATTGTGAGGTTAAGCAAGAAATAATAATATTCACTTTAATTTCCAGTGGTATGTACAGTGTCTGGCTCATTGTTAAGAACTCCATGAGGGGCTGGAGAGATGGCTCAGTGGTCTAAAGCACCTACTTGGAACAAGCTTGGCAAAACACAGGGACCACAGTTCGATCCCCCAGCACCACATGCCAGCCAGTCCCGCCCCCTGGTGGTCTGAGCTGGCCACACACACAATAAATAAATGTATAAATAAATAATTATTTAAAAAAAAAAAAAAAGAACTCCATGAATCCTTAGCAAATGAAATTATAGTCTATGTGTGGCAAAGGACATTGTCCATTGCATTGCTTACTGCTTCCTGTAGAAATCTCATCCTGGTAAATTTCATTTAGAACAAAATGTTAGCTTTATAATAGACATTGAAAGTGTGAAAATTAGTTTTCCTTCATTTTTGTGTTGGTTTCCAGGAAGCTTGGAGAATTTGCAGCTAAACAATAACAAGTATTTAGAACTTAATAGCCATTATAACTGTGATATTTTCCTCCATTGTATCACTCTGTGTTAGAAGGGGAAAGGTCAGTTAAGAATCTGTTGCTACAATCCCGGTATGAAACACACAAAGTAGTTAATGATAGGGCAGATGGAGTGAAAGATAATGAGTAAATTTCTATATTGGGTAACTAACAGATGATGGCCTTCACCCAGGAAAGTTAAGTAGAAGACGCAGATTATCTTTGAAGATATGGATGATGAGGTATTTGTGCGGTACTTGAGTAGAAATGCCCTCTAGAGTGTTGGTAATGTGGTGTGGAGCTCAGAAGTTTAGAGTAGAAAAGTATATGTGGGACTTTTTGGTACATAGGTAATCATTAAAATAGTGGAAATGGATGTCTCCCAGAGTGGTAAAATAGGGAAAGAAGAAAGAGGACCCTGGAATAGGTTTCTGAGAAACTGTACCATATAAAGGAAGGGCAGAGAAAGAGAAACCTGGGAATGACAGTGAAGAGGAGTGGCCAGGGATAGATAGAAAGTAAAGATAGGTATGAAGAAGCTAAGAGAAGAAAGTTTTAAAAGCAAGGAATGGACAACAGTATCAAATGAAACTGAGAAATTAAGCAATACAAGACCCAAATATCAATGGGATTCAGTACCAAAGTAATCACTGGCTTTTTTAGAGAGTAGCCTCAGTGAAATAGTAAGGTAGAGATTAAATAGATGTGGGTAGGGTAGATGTCATCAAGAAATTTAGCTGAGAAGAGCCAGTGATTAAGTGAAGTAGTTGAAGTGTTTAATTCATGAAACT